TCTAGATCTCTGCCATAAGGAAGTTTCCTCTTTTTTCCAAATCTCATCAAGTTCCTTTTTAATGCTCTTTATCTTATCAAAATCAGTAACAGAGAGCTACTGAGACTCAGATAAGACATCAAGGTTATCAAACTCCATAAGGAGTGCCTTTTTTTTCTTTTTCAAAGCTGCTTCTTGTTAATATTCTAGCCCTTTGTTTTCTTTCTAAGGACCCTAGTTTTAGCCATCCAGTTATCAGCCGAAGAATTAGTAGAGGACACATAATTCCAAGCTTCTGTAACCATTTGGTGGAACCCAGGCTGGGATAGCCACCATTTTTCAAATCTAAATGGTTTAGGGTTAGATGGGGCCCTAGCTCCAGTGTCCAAGACCAAAGGAGTGTGATCACTCCCCACTCTGGGGAGTGTTGTCAAAGTTGAAAAAGGGAAATGGGCATTCCAGTCCACAGAAGTGAACACTCTGTCAAGAACAACAAAGATAGGGGAACTCTGGTTGTTTGACCAGGTAAATACTCTATTAGAGATAGAAATCTCCATCAGGGCCCATCTATTGATCCATTCATTGAAGAGAAGTGCAGCCTGATGGTTAATCTGACCATCGCTCTTCTCAGTTTCATTCCTAATCAAGTTAAAGTCTCCCCATATCAAGACATGATAAGATGAACTAGTCATAGTATCATGTAATTCAACAATAAACTCCATTTTAAACACAATGGAAAAACTTTGGTTAATAAAACCAATAACCTCAAATAAATTCTTCTTAAACCCCAATAGGATCCCACCAGCAGTATTAATAGCAGACAGAAAGTGCCAAGTAAAATTACCAAAGCTATCAATAGCTTTGAGAAAACCCTCAGAAATAATCTCTCTCTTAGTTTCTTGAAAACCAATAAAGTCAGGATTAGATTTGGTGATAGTATCACACAGGCTCTGACTTTTTCCAAATTTTCCAAGACCCCTAATGTTCCAAATAAGACCTATCATAATTAAGCAATTTTAAAAGGATGTGATAAGCCATAAGGCTTGGCTTTAGTTAGCACAGTGGGAGTTTTCCTAAGAGTAATAGTAGTGACAATTGGCTCAAAGGAAAATTCACTCACAGGTGTACTAACTACATCATTGGCATCAAAATCTAGGTTGTCAGGCAAAACAATTTCAGGGTTCTTGCTGGCAAAAACCAAGCATCTCTCTCTTTCATCAGCCACCATCTCATCAATGGTGTTTTGCTTTTGAAATTCATCCCTCCAATTATTAGGTTAACTTGTTCCATTTGATCAACAAGAACAGTTCTATCAATAGTGGAAAATGATTTATCTTTAAATGTTTTTGGGATTTCCAGATTCTTCCTCCTCTTATATGCAACAACTTTCTCCATGATATTGACATTCCATGACCTCTTTAGCAGGCTTTTGAGTTAACACAGGCCCCCATTTAGATTTCTTCTCAATAATGCCCCCATCTCTCTGAACTTGGTTGAGTGATTCTAGCAGGGACATCTTCAGAGAATCACTTTGTAGGATATGTAAGGCCTCGGGAGGGAAAACCCCCAACTCCTCTTCTTTGGGTTCCTCATTTTCAGACTCAGATAAGTCCACAGACCTGAGCAGGCCCTCACAATAATCCATACTCCCAGATCTCTCCCCAAGTAAGGTCATATCCATTATTCTAGAAGGAACAGGAGTCTTTGAGACAGACTCTCTTCAATCATGGTCTCATCTTTTTCCTCACCTCTGGTAAACTCTTGATCAAATCCCAGCAGATTATCTGCATGTTCAACCCTCACCATAGTACCATCAGAAGATGGACCACTTTGAATAGCTCAACCATTGCACATTCCAAGATAAAATCCTCCTGATCAGAATCAGGGCATATTTCCATAGGTGACATCCCCACACTCTGAGAAACATGCTTGCCAGACCCATGTTTGGCTGGGAAATTAGCTTTATCTAGCTCATCAATGGCCAGGCCCCCATCATCAGATCCATCAGAAGCATGTTCTCCATGAGTCCCACTGCCTTCAGCAGCATGATCTTCCTCAGCTCTTTCTTCTTCCTCATCACCATCCTCATCATCTTCCACATCAATGACAGAGTCCACTCCACCCACCTGTTCAAATCCCTCAACAATAAAACCTAGCAGGAAGAGTTTTCTTCTTCATCTCAATCAGCCTCTCAAAAGGGATCTCTACAAGCAATTTTAATCCTAACATTCTCAAAAAAGGTTCTAAACATGCCATTCCAGTCTGCATCAGTAAGCACCCCAAAGAGAGAAGCAATTTGATCAAACACTTTCCAAGTGCACCATTTTGGAGGAATCCCCTCGATCAGAACCCATGCTTCAATTAATTCCCCAAAAGGGGCACAACCACCTTTCCATTCAGTCAAAGTAACATTCAGATCCCAGGGTAAAGAAAATCCAGGCAGCTCAATAAGATCTTCAACTTTCTTCCAAGGTGGAAATCTAACCAAGAAAGTCTTGCTAGATAACCCTCTGATCTGCCATGGCCAATGTCTAGTCTTGCAAAAAGTTGCAGTCAGAAGTTCCATCAACTTAGAGTAGTCCACTTCTCCTTTCAGAATGTTCACCACAGCACAGTTCTGAAAATTCAGCCACTTTGATTCATTGGCAACAGGGACATCTACATGGTAGAAACCAAGCCCTCACGCTCCACTGCCAAAGAAAGCAGCAGTGGGTTGAACTTTGGACCACGCAGCATAGTTATTGACATTGTGGTTCTGCTGACAAATGAAACATGCTTTTGGCTTCACACAATTTCCAACATAGTGACCAGGGCCCCCACAATTGAAGCATGTCATGTCTTTATACCTAGGATCAAGGACCTGTTCAACCTCCACTTCACCAGATTGAGAGGATTGTACCTGGGCCGAACCCGCAGTTGAGGCTGTGGATCTGGTAGGTTTGGGAGCAGGGGCCTGTTCCTTTGCGGGCAGAGCAGATGGCTGCTTGCGACCAACGAATGAGGCATCCTTCTGTCCCGCGGCCTTGGATTGCCCGCAACAAGATTGCCGCCCCCTCCTGCCCGGCGATCGGCCATCTTTGATCCGCGCTTCACTACCTCCGCAAAGGAAAGCGTGCCGGGGCCAATTCCCTCTTGCGAGATCTTGATGCTCTTTGGTGGTGGATTGAAAGGTCGAATTGAATCTGGGAAGCAATCAGCAGCGAGAAAGGAATTGATCTCGACTAAGTCCTTCTGAATCCAACAGAGGAGTCCGGAGTTAGGGTTGTTTCGAGGCTGCGGGGTAGGTGTTTTGTAGTTAGGGCACCGGCTGGGGGGGAGGAATAAGCCAGAGTTGGCCAAAGTGCTCCTCTACACTTTCTAGAGTTTCTGCTTTATGTAATCGCCTCACTCTACCCGCTTTATCACCCAGGACACGGAATTTGCACTTGGGACCAGTCAATGCTGGGTTTGGGGGGGAGTGGCAAGGTGCCGACGCCCCCACCAAGGTGTTCCTGCCTAGGTTCTGCTCGAGCCCCTCACCGGAATCCGGCTCTGACGAGGTCTCACCAGCTGTATAAACACCACCACGTTTTTCAACATCCACAGTTTTGAGAGGGAGAACCCCCAAATCCATAACCAAACCCTCACCCTGATTACGAACACCCAAAACAATTTCGTTTGCAACCTTTCGCTGGCGCAATCGAAATTCCCGCAAACTAACTCTCAGAGACAAATCAGCATGAATGTAATGCATACCTGACCCACCAGGCCAAGTCGGGGGCTCGATGGGTCGTCGCTGAGCTCGGATCAGTTGGGGCAGACGACCTACTAACGGCATTGGGGCCAAACAATCCCCGACGGAAGGTACTCCGACGGGATGTTGGCGATGCCCTCCCACGAAGGCGGTCAGATGTTGAGCCTGGATGGATTCGCCGTCCTGAAATTCTCCCACCACGCAGCTTGGCACGGATCCGATGATTCGACCTCCTGGACCGCCCAGAAGAGAAGCTCCACATCCTCGCAGCCGTCGTCTCCGATGAAGCGCGCGTGCTCGACGAAGTTTGCGTGGCAAAGGATGTGGAGATGGATCTCCCCCCTCTCGTCTCGATCGGGGAAGCGCTCCATCACCACCCGACGCATCTCGCGGCGAGCCTCCGGCGAGTGTGGATCGATCTCGGGCAGTGGTGCCGCTGTCGGAGGCGGAAGCGCCCGCGGTTCCGCTACCCGTGCCACCGGCGCAAGCCGGCGTGCCCGAACACCGCGGCGGCGCGCCCCAGCCATGCGAGATCTCCGATGGAGAACTGGGGCGGGGAGGACTCGATGAGGTGCGGGGGTGGGTGGGGGGCTGCGGATAAGCAAGCTTTAATGGCACCTCGGGAGGGGGAGGGAGGGGGAGGGGAGGGAGCGGTCATCTCGCTATCGTCTCAATCTACTCAACACCTCTCAGTATCTCTCTTTTCTCTCGAAAACCCTATTATATTTTTATGTTTATAATTAAGTTTATTTTTCTGTGCTATAATTGCAATGTTTGGGAATATTTCGTTCAACAGGGAGCTGACATCTGGAGGGTAATCTCGAACATGCCATGCTCTCCACATGATCACGAGGACCATCGTACGTTGGTTGGGGTTAATCTGTCTAGCAGTCCGAGCATCCTTCAGACCATCATCAGCATCAGGAGGTCCCAATCCTCTCTCATTGCTTGCCATAGGCGCAGTGCATGCGGACACCGCTCGAGTCTCGAGGGCATGGTGTACGTCTGCAATCCCTTGCCTTGTTTCAGAAACATAAAATCCCACGCGGTAGAAATCATCCATCACCAGTTTGGCACACACAAACAGCTAAATTTTCACATCACGTGACACTATAATCAAATTGCCTGTAACCCCAAAGGGAACAACAGGGGAGCGTAATAAGAAACGGTGTACACATATTTCTACTGGGAAAGAACAACAGAATTGTTTCGGGGGAAGAAATATACAGCATTTGTCAACACGAACAACAACCTAATAGTAACACCACGAGACACAAGGAGGAGACGCTCAGGGCCTCCCAACGAGCCTTTGCTGTTGCTGCCGCATGCGTGTACTCTGTTTTTGCCGCTGAAATCGGCACAGGGACGCCTTCTCCTTGAGCTCCTGGAACGCGCGCATGGTGTCGGCGTCGAAACCGTTCGCAAACTGTACCAAGCAACGAGCACGGATTCCTTTAAGTTGGTCTTTGGTTACCACGCTCGTTTTTCTGCGAATAATTACCTACCTGGTGTACTCTGAAGGCGAATCGTACTCCTTGAAGCATCAACTCCTCTTCGTCTGGGCCGACTTTGATGGCTTCAAGCTCCGAGGAAACCCGTTCCAAGTACCTCCTGGCTAACTTCACGGATTGGAATTTGATCTGTACATCAAATCTTTCATTAGAGGTCTGGTGATGGCCTGCTGTACATTTTCTACGGCGTTAACATCACCTTCATGTAAATGACTACGGTCATCCGGGTTTTTTCGCCCGTTTTGAATGCATAAGGTAGAAAATGCTCTACCTTTCTATTAAAAAAAAGCATAGACCTTTCGATTCATAAATAGTTCAACCTTTTGGATTGTTTGCCAAATCTCATAGCAGGCAAGAAACAAGTGAAAGACTTACTTGAAGAAAGCTTTAATAGAGTTTCTGATTCCATGCCTTTGGCGAACCTTCCACTGGTTCTATCAATTTTGAAACAGCAAAGCGTCGGCAAGAGAGTTAGCGATCTACAACTGGCTGGGTGGACTGGTGGTGACATAGGCGGGTCCTCTACTTTATTTACGAGGAGAATGTGCGACCCAATTGACAGCCTTAATTCATATCCTAGCTTGTCTGAGAACTAGCTTCGCTTGTTGACTTTGCCCTTTCCTTAGACAAAGAGCCGACCCCCTGCTTGGTCGGCAGTGTGTTACCATTCAACTCTACACAAGCATGTCATTGGGCTACTCGCGTCATCGGCGGCTACAAAGGAGAAGTGGTGGTTGATGAAATAGTCCTCCAACTTGTAGCACTTCGTGGTTAACATGAAAACTTTACATAGTTATCCTCCCTCGGTAGGCAAATAGCCTTTGCGACTTACATCTCTACTATAGGAGGAGAAGTAGGAATAACACCAAATTTTCAAACGCCATCGTCCTCACAAGAGACAGTGGGTGGCAAATCCATGGAAAATAGGTCAACCTTTTGATATGCGTACAATATTAGATAATAAAAGAGTATGTTTCCATCTTCGGTTAGATTAGATGATACGGTTTTTGTAGTGGAGAGAATTTTCGTCTTGTTTTTCATGGCCTAGCATATTCAACATTGCTCTTGCGATTAACCGTTTGACGTAGAAATTATAGCCATTGAAAATATAGCTATTACGCCGTCGCAAATGACAGTCGAATCGGTAGTTACAAAATACATGAGAGAATAAAGAGGACATGGATGTAGACTATGCTGGATATGAAATGGAAATTTAGGAGAAAATCATTTTACACTATAGACTGTACACGAGAATGTAGACTATCTGCCAAGTGAGAATTTTTGCCTCCCAAGCTCCATGGAGCTCAAAATTTTGCAAAAGTTAAAAAGCACCTTTGAAGTGACAATTTTTTTAAAAAAAATACTACACATATACACAAGAATGTGTACTTCATTCATGTAAATTTTCATAATCAATATGTTTTGATGTGACTACCAAAAACAAATATAATGATGAACTTTTATAGGACGCACTATAAATTCATGTTTTTTTTGTAGCTCACATCAAAACGTAGTCCGCCCGTTCCAAAATAATTGGAGTTCTAGATTTGTCCTAAGTCAAACTTGCTAATCCAACACCAAATAGACATAATACAAAAGCAGATTTGATAAAGAATCTCATGAGACTAATTTGGTGTTTTAGATGTTTATATATTGTTCTATAGACCTGGTTAAACTTAAGCAAGTTTGACTTGGGGCAAACCCAGACTTTCAGTTATTTTGGAATGGATGTAGTAGTATACATCCCTGTATACATGCGTAAACCTTTTTTTTTCTCAACCAGGCTTAACCCGTTCTCCATTAATTTCTGAATAAAATAACCCAACATTGTTCATTACACCAGCAAGATCAGATTACGGAAGCAGGGAGAAGGGGAGAGCGAGTTGGGGTTGGGGAATACCGAAGGAAATCAACCCTCTGCGGTTGCTTGCCCAAAAACCGTCTAACAGACAGAGATGCCCTTACTTAGACCAAACATGAGTGGATCGGGAATCATCCCATCTGTAATGCTGAGAGCAGCAGTAGATGGGACACTATCCAACAAATTCGGGCCGGGACACTGATTTTTGGGGCTTCCAGCTAATTTCCCGGAGGGGCTCGTGTAGGCGAAGAAGACAGCAGCAAAACAGAACAAAACGAGATCGGACACCCGATCTGACTGTACCGGTCTTGAGAATGGGCGAGAACATTTGAGGCCGAACCAGTTGCGGCACTCAAGCGGGACCACGCATACGCATCCATGGCCGCCCGGCAATGCGTACCTATGCTACGCAGAACGACACGGCTCCCGAGGTGTCATGGGCTTGTTGTCTAGCTCTAGCTCTAGAGACAGGAGCGAACGAATTAGCGAGCATGGTCACGAGATCGCGTCCGTGCCACACTCACGTGCACCCCCACAGCACGAGACAAGAAAATGCCACGCCTATCGATCCCCTCGGCTGGCCCCGGGTACATGTCGTTGCTTACGCCGCGCACCCACCTACGTACATACGCTCTCTCTCTCTCTCTCTCTCTGCCCGTGAACAGATCCAGAAGGTCGCGTACGCGTCGCATCACGTGTGGGTGCGTTTCTTCAGACTTCAGCTACTCGCATCTCCCTTTCAAAAAAAAGCTACTCGCATCTCTGCAGATTCTAGTGCGCGCACCGCAAACCCAAGACGGCTGCTGTCCTATCACTACTCAGACGAGTACCAAGATGGAACTAGTTACTGTACTACGTTACCTGGCTGACGATCCCGGCGTCCTGCATCCACTCCGACGGGATCTGGAACCGGGCGTACCTGCTGGTGGCGCCGTCGCGGACGCGTGCGAGGTTGTACACGCCGTGCTCCAGCCTGCACGCACGCAGCACCCTTGTTGTTGGTTGCCACATGATAAAATGCGGTACTGAAACCGCGGAGTTAATTTGACGCTTACTTCTCAAAGAGGGCCTGCATCTTCTTGAGCGCGGCGGCGCAGGGTTGGCGGGGGTCGTCGCGGAACGAGGACGCCTCGCCCTCCAGCTTCTTCAGGTCGCAGTAGCCGAACGCCGCCTCCCGGAGCGCGTCCGCCTTCTGCTCCGGCCACTCGAAGTGCTTTAGCACCGCGCGCTCGTCCACCTGCAATGCAACCATGGCCACCAGCCAATTACCAACCGCCGTCACCGGTGACCACCGAACAAGCACCTCAAGTGAATGAATTGCTGCCGCACCAGGCGGGATAGCTCGTCGTCGAGCCACTTGACGAAGCTGACCACGCCCTCGATGTTGACCAACGCCGCGCCCTCCACCTCCTTGATCAGGAACCGGATCAAGTCGCCCTGCGTCTCCACGTCCGACCTGATCTGCACACCACAACACAATACACACTTTCTCTGTCAATTCCAGCGACGTACTACAGTAACCCTGTTCCATTTCCAAGTGTAAATGACTCCAACGCCTAACCAACGTCCGGGCGATCGACACCGGGCACGGTGATTCTCGGATTAACTACTAGAGCCCGTGTAAAGCGCACATGCATCCACCGCAAATATAAATGCAGCGCATTTCGATCGCTCGCTCGCTCGATCCCATCGAGCCATGCCCACTTCGGATTCCGTGCAGCCGTTTCTGCTTCTGTCTTCTCTAGTCACGGTACACACCAATTGAAG